CCCACTGGTTTTAAAAACTCACAGAATTCAGCCCCTCTGGTTTTTAAAATTTTATTTATTTATTTGCCAGAGAGAGACACAGCGAGAGAGGGAACACGAGCAGGGGGAGCGGGAGAGGGAGAAGCAGGCTTCCCGCTGAGCAGGGAGCCCGATGCAGGGCTCGATCCCAGGACCCTGGGACCATGACCTGAGCCAAAGGCAGACGCTTAACGACTGAGCCCCTCTGGTTTTTAAGTAAAAAGCCTTATGGGGATCAGTCTTCCCAGTGTGAGCTCCCTGCGTAAGGGCCTGTTTCTGTGTCCTCTCCATGTGCAGCCCCCTCTCTCCTTCAGGTAGCTTCCCCCCCCCCCCCCCCAACTTTCTGACCTTCCTAACCTTTCAGAGACAGCTTTTTCTCTATATTTAGTTGTGGAGTTTTTCTGTCAGTCTTTGGATCACTCTCCAGTTTATTGACTTGGATGTGGATGATATCTGGTAAACATGGGATGGGGTGAGCTCAGGTCCTCCTGCTCCTCCATCTTCCTAAGTTCTCCTTCCCACCTTATTCTTTTTCAAAATTGATTTAACTCTACTAATTCTTTGGCCTTTCTATATAATTTTAGATAATTCTGTGTATATCTACAAAAAAATCTTGCTGGGGTTTGATAGAAATTGCATTAAACCTGTATATGAATTTGAAAAGCACTGCATATTTACTATCTTGAGTCTCCTAATCCATAAGCATGATGTCTCTCCATTTATTTAGATCTCCTTTGATTTCTGTCATCAGCATTTTATAGTTTTCAGTATACAAATCTTATACATATTTTGTTATATTCACACCTAAGTATTCTTTGTTGAGTGATTTTAAATGGTATTGTAGTTTTTTTGTTTTGTTTTGTTTTGTTTTTGTTTGTTTTAGTGAGAGAGAGAGAGAGAGAGTGAGCAGGGGGAGGGGCAGAGGGAGAGAAAGAAATTCTTAAGCAGGCTCGATGTTGAGCATGGAGCCAGATGCAAGGCTTGATTCCACAACCCTGAGATCATGACCTGAGCTGAAATCAACAGTTGGATGCTTAACCAACTGAGCCACCCAGGCATCCCAAATGGTATTATAGTTTTAACTGTGGTGTCCATGTGTTCACTTCTGGTATACAGGAATATAATTTATTTTTCTGGACTGATCTTATACCCTGTGACAGTGCTGAACTTACTTAGTTGTAGGAGTTTTTTTGGTAGCTTCCTGAGGATTTTCATTGTGGACAATCAAGCTGTGCAAAAGGGGATAGTTTTATTTTTTCATTTTCAATAGATATGCTTTTTATTTCCTTTTATTGCCTTTTTGCACTGGCTAGAACTGCCACCACTCTGCTGAATATAAGTAAGAGTGAACATCTGTGTACACACACACACACAATGGAATATTAGGCAGCCATCAAAAAATTGAAATCTTGTCATTTGCAATGATGTGGGTGGAACTAGAGGGTATTATCCTAAGTGAAATAAGTCAATCAGAGAAAGACAATTACCATATGATCTCACTGATATGAGGAATTTGAGAAACAAGACAAAGGATCATAGGGGAAGGGAGGGAAAAATGAAACAAGATGAAACCAGAGGGGGAGACAAACCATAAGATATCTTAATCTCAGGAAACAAACTGAGGGTTGCTGGAGTGGAGAGGGGTGGGAGGGATGGGGTGGCTGGGTGATGGACATTGGGGAGGGTATGTGCTATGGTGAGTGCTGTGAATTGTGTAAGACTGATGAATCACAGACCTGTACCCCTGAAACAAATAATACATTATGTTAATTAAAAAAAAAAAAAGAGTGAACATCTTTGCTTTGTTCCTGATCTTAGGGGCAAAGCATTCAGTCTTTTTTACCATTAAGTAAAATGTTAGTTCTAGGGTTTTTCTTTCTTTTTTTATAGATCAAATTGAGGATGTGCCCCTCTATTCCTATTTTTTTGAGTTTTTTTTTTTTTTTAAGATTTTATTTATTTATTTGACAGAGAGAGACACAGCGAGAGAGGGAACACAAGCAGGGGGGAGTGGGAGAGGGAGAAGCAGGCTCCCCGCCGAGCAGGGAGCCCGATGCGGGACTCGATCCCAGGACTCAAGGATCATGACCTGAGCCGAAGGCAGTCGCTTAACCAACTGAGCCACCCAGGCGCCCTATTTTTTTGAGTTTTTAATCACCAATGTGTATAAAATTTTTTCACATGCTTTTCTGCATTCATTGATATGATCATGTGATTTTTCTTCTTTAGCTGGTTAATATGATGGATTACACTGATTGATTTTGAAATACTGAATCACACATTCCTACAACAAATCCCAATTGGTGATGGTATGTAATTCTAGTTATAAATTGCTGACTTATATTTGCTAATATTTTGCTAAGGTTTTCTCTATCTTACATTCATGAGGAGTATTGGTCTTTAGGTTCTTTTTTTATATCATACTTTATATCATCTGTTTTCAATATCAGGGTAATATTAGCTTCATAAGTGTAACTGAGAAGAGTTTCCTTCTCATTCTGGAAGAGGTTATTTAGAATTGATATTATTATTTAAAAGTTTGTAGAAGATTCCAGAGAAACTATGTAGGCCTGAAAATTTATTTTTCTGGGAATTTAAAAATTATGAATATACTTTCCTTAATAGTTATAGGGGAATTCAAATAGTCTATTTCCTATTGGATGAATTGCAATTTATCTTTTTTGAGGAAATGATCTATTTCATCTAAATAGTCAAATTTATGTGTGTAGAGTTTTTTTGTTGTAGTTCCTTTTTATTGGTTAGATGTCCACAAGGTCTGTAGTGATATCTTTGGTTTCACTCCTGATAGTGGTAGTTTGTGACTTCTTTCATTTTCTGTCAGTATTGCTAGAATTTTGTCAGTTTTATTGATTTTTTTCACAAAGAATCAGTTCCTTGCTTCATTGATTTTCTTTTTGTTTTCTGTTTTCAAATCCATTGATTTCTATTCTTTCTTTATTATTTCTTTCCTTGGGTTTATTTTGTTTTTCTTTCTCTAGGTTCTTGGGGTAAGAACTTAGATTATTGACTAATACCTTTCCTCTTTTCTAATAAATGTATTTAGCGCTTTCCCTCAGTACTGCTTTAGCTGTGCCCCACAAATTTTAAGATGTCATATGTTCCTCTCAAAGGCAGTAGAAACTAGGATTGAACCCAAAGAGTCTGGATCTTGCATTATTACACAAGTGGTATTTAACATTTGTCTCTCCTCATTTTCCATTTCTAGCCCCAAAGCAGATGTACATGTAAGTCTGATTTAAAAACAAACAAACAAGCAAGGAAACAAATAAAACTACTATGGATGATTAGGGGCAACTATTCACTTTACAAAACATTTTGCTGTCATGATAAGGAACTCCCAAGCTCTTCTTGGACAGGTACACTGGTTAAAAATCATTAATGATTTCCCACAAGTACTAGGATGGAAAAAACAATGATAGAACTTTTGTTATAGTCCCATAGGTCCCTGATGCTCTTTTTTTTAGAAGCCTATTTTCTCTCAGTTGTTTAGATTGGCTCATTTCTGTCGTTCTATTTTCAAGTTCATTGATCCTTTCCTCTGCTTCCTCATTCTGCTGCTGAGCTTATCTACTGAATTTTTGAATTGTGATTATTGTATTTTTTAGTTTTAAAATTTTCCATTTGGTTCTTCTTTATGTCTGTTATTTCTTTGTTGAGGCTTCCCGTTTTTTCTTTTGTTTTGAGCAAGTTTGTAATTGCTCATTGAAGCATTTCTTTTTTCATGGCCTCTTCAAAATCTGTCAGATAATTCTAACATCTGTTATCTCAGTGTTGGTATCTATTGATTGTCTTTTTTCATTCAGTTTGAGGTCTTCCTGTTTCTTGATATGACAAACAATTTTCTATTGAAACCTGGACATTTGGGGTATTGTATTGAGTTACCTAACCTTACTTAAATCCTCTATTTTAGTTGGCTTTCTCTGACACTGCTCCAAAGGGGAAGTAGGGGTGTATGTGTGCCACCTCATCATTGCCAGGTCAGATCAGAAGTCCAGGTTCCCTACTTAGCTACCATTGACATCTGAGGGAGAAGACTCTTCATTATTAGGTGGTGGTAAAAATACTAATTCTCAAAAAGGCTTCCTCTGACACCACCCCAACAGGTAGGGGGAGGGAGGCTGAGTAGTTGGGGTGGAGGTCCAAGATTTCTACTTGGTCTTTGCTGGAATGATGGGGCTAGGGCAGCAAGTTTTAGTTTGCTTGTTTGCTTGTGTATTTGTGTGATGTTTGGTTGGAGTAGACTCATTATTGTTTAAAAGTTCTCTGCCTTGCTATGTCCCTTTCCTGGTTCTTTGGCTAGAGAGCAGGCTTGTGTGTGTGTGTGTGTGTGTGTTTGTCTGTGACTATTAGCCTTTCTGGGCTGTTGGATTTTTTCAACTCCAAGTATGGGATATACTTGGAAAGAGAACCAAGGAAAGTTACCACCATGTCATTCCTTGGGTCCCATGGTCCTAGCTAGTCTGTCATTTTCTTTCCACTTTCCAGAGTGTTCCTATGTTTATATTATACACAACATCCAAGATTTTTAGTTATATTTAGCAGTAGGAATAAAAAAAGTACATCTACTCCATCTTCTGAGAAGCAAATCTTTGCTTTCTGGCTTTAATAGTCACACTTTCCCAACGTCCAATGCTACCAAAAATAGCCCTCTTTCCATACTCCTTTTTTAACTACTTGGCCTATCTACTTTAGTTATTCATACAAAGAAGTTGAAAGTAAACCCAAACCAACTAGCTTCATTATACAAGGTGATATAAAAGAATTGGAAAATTTGTGTCCAAGACTATCATGTAAAGAATTACTAAAGGACTTTCAGCCACAGAGGCAGGATACTCCTTGTCCCTCCAGTATCAAAATGGTCTGTCATATATAATTTCATTAACATTGCTCACCTCTGAAGGCCATCTCTAAAAGAATAGGACAGAACATTCTGCAGAATTAAAAATGCATAAATAGCTCACCTTCACTGTCACAGCATTCTAGGATGGAAGGGTCTTCCCGAATTACTGAAGTCAGAGCACTGACATCTCCGTTAGAAGCTGCCTGATAAACCATGGTCAGGTTGACTTCCTCAGATGAGTCACCTTCATGAATCAAACAGAGATACACTTGGTGTGTGTACCAAATTCACTGAAAGAATAACACCCACAACATCTCCCATACAAGTGATTTATGAAAACGTCTCTGATGAATCCAGGCAGGAGGCTGAGTCATACTCCTCACAAGCACCCTCAATGCTTCTGAAGAAAGGTGGACCCCTGTGGGCCATGTTGTAACATCACCATATATTGGGAAGGAGTCTGAGGGATTAGATGTCCTCCGAGATTTTATGATTCTCTGTAGGCCTTCAAGGTATTCAAAATCAGTGAGACCAGAGAGGAAAATGGGACTCTTGTGTTGGTTCTAGGTTTCCCTCTTTGATCTGAAACATGTTAAACTTTTCCTTTCAATGACTCAGTTTACCCAACTCTGATACAGATATTGCATTCTTTATTTTCTGTTCTCCTGATGTACTCTCCACCCCATCCCCTCCTGCTGTGTACCCTGAGGGCTGACACTTGCTTACTGTATCATCCAGGCCCCCTCGCTCTCTGGTTTGAGGGCTGACACTTGCTGACTGTATCACCCAGGCCCCCTCGCTCTCTGGTTTGCCCAAAGGAGACACTGGCAAGAAACTGGTGGGAAGAAGAGAGAGAGGTAGGGAATTTCTTTCTGCCTTCTCCTGGTGTAGTGTCTAACAGTGGCTGCTTCTCTTCCACCAGGAGTTTCCTCCTTCCCAGAACCAGCTCTTACTGGGTTCCCTTTGGTAACAAACACCATTCTCTCCACCCTGCCTCATCTCTGTATGTAGTCCCTTCACAAAAGCAGTTGGGGTTTCATGACATGCTGCTTCCAGAAGGAACAGACCTATATGCAACTCCTTGGAATTTGGTAGCCACCTGTATTATACCTTTGTGCACGACTGAACCAACTAATAGTACTACCAAAGGTGAGAATAGAACTTTGGGTCAAGTGATGCCAGGGGAGCACTGAAGGCCTGGGAGGCAAACTGCTCATGTGGAGACCCCTAGTGAGGCGCTGTGCAGAGCCCCTCTGCTTTTACAATTTCTCCCACACATAGCCATTATTCAGGGAAAATATGTGTGTGCAAGAAAAGTTTTTAAAACTGTTTTTCTATGAATGTGGACATTACACCAGAAATACTTTACCGTTCTAATCTTTAATTGGCAGTGATCCTAACCTGTTGGCTGGGTTTCTCTGCTCCAGTACTTCTTGGAACTTTTTAACTAGTTGACCTGTCCCAGGAGGAGCTTGTTATTGAAAATGGTTCACTTATGACAACAAGCTCCTTTGTAAAGTTGAGTAGCTGTTCCCTAATTTATCCACAGTGAATTTGTTGTTGTTGGGGGTGTTTTTAAAGCAGGCTCACCTGCACATTTGCCTGGGGGTTGGAAGTAGGAGGTGAGAGATATCAACATCAAATGCCCCTTCCATGGTAAGTGTGAGGACTCTGGAGCCACACAACTTGGGTTCAAGTCCTGGTTTATACTAACTAGCTCTGTGAATTTGAAAATTACCCTCTCTACACCTGTTTCCTTGTTCCTACAGTGGAAATTATGAGGGGTGCCCGGGTGGCTCAGTTGGTTAAGTGTCTGCCTTCGGCTCAGGTCATGATCCCAGGGTCCTAAGATTGAGCCCCGCATTGGGTTCCCTGCTCAGTGGGGAGTCTGCTTCTGCTCTCCTTCTGCCCTTCTCCCTCACTCATGCTCTCTCTTTCAAATAAATAAAATCTTTAAAATAATAATAATAAAATGGAGATGATGATGATGATGATGATTATGACAACCACCTATGTCTATGTCTATGTGTTTACTCTAGAGAGATTATTCCATGGGACCATGATAGCAGCAGCCTTCAGATATTTGAAGATCTTTTTTTTTTTAATTAAAAAATTGTGGTGAAATATATATAACACAACATTTATCATTTCAACCCTTTTTAAACATATAGTTCAGGGGCATTATGTACATTCGTAGTGTACACTCAACATTCACATTGTTGAGCAACCATCACCATCAATCATTTTCAGAACTCTTTTCATCTTCCAGAACTCAAACTCTGTATCCATTAAATAGTAACTCTCCATTAATCCCTCCTACAGCCCCTGGAAACCACCATGCCACTTTCGGTCTCTATGAATTTGATTACTCTAAGGAATCATTTAAGTGGAATTAACAGTGTTTGTGCTTTTGCAACTGGCTTATTTTACTCAGCATAATGTCCTAAGGTTCATCCATGTTGTAGCATGTGTCACAATTTCCTTCTTTTCCAAGGTTGAATAATATTCTATTGTATGTTTAGACCACATGTGGTTTATCTGTTCATCCATCGATAGATACTTGGGCTGTTTCCACCTTTTGGCAATTTTGAATAATGCTATCACGAACATCACCTCTTTGAGACCTTGCTTTCAATTCTTTTGGGTATAAACTTAAAAGTGGAATTGCTGGATCATGTGGTAATTCTATTTTTAATTTTTTAAGAACCACCAAAGTGTTTCCCACAGTGGCTGCACCATTTTATATTCCTGCCAACAGCACACAAGGGTTCCAATATTCCCATGTCCTTACAGACAATTGGTATTTCCTGTTATTGTTTTATGTGTTTGTTTGTTTTAATAATAGGGAGTTAATAGGTGTGAAGTGATATCTCATGGTATTGATTTGCATGGCCCAGTGATTAGTCATGTTGAGTATCTTTTCATGTATTTATTGGCTATTTGTATATCTTCTTTGGAGAAATGTCTCCTTAAGTCTTTTATCCATTTTTAATCAGGTTGTTTAATTTCTGGTATTAAGTTATAGAAATTCTTTATATACTCTGGATATTAACCCCTTATCAGATATATGATTTACATATATTTTCTCCCATTCTGTGGGTTGCCTTTTCATTCTGCTGATCATGTCCTTTGATGCACAAAACCTTTTAACTTTGATGTAGCTCAATTTGCCTATTTTTTCTTTTGTTGTCTGCCCTTTTGTCATCATATCCAAGAAATCATTGTCAAATTTAATGTCACAAAGCTTTTCTCCTATGTTTTCTTCTAGGAGTTTATAGTTTTAGGTCTTATGTTTAGATCCTTGATCCATCTTGAGTTAATTATTATATATGGTGTTAAGGTAAGGGTCTGATTTTTATTCTTTTGTACATGGCTATCAATTGTTCCAGCACTATTCTTTCCCATTGGATGGTCATAACACCCTTGTTGAAAATCAGTTGACTTAAATGCATGGGATTATTTCTAGACTCACAGTTCTGTTCCATGGATCTATATGTCTATCTTTATGCCAGTACTATAGAGTTTTGATTACTGCAGGTTTGTAGTATATTTTGAAATCTGTAAGTGTTGAGAACTCCAACTTTGTTTTTCTTTTGTAAGATTGTTTTGGCTATTTGGGGCTCCTTGAGATTCCATATGGATTTTAGGATGGATTTTTCTATTTCACAAAAACAAAAATTTTTTTGACAGAAGGTTACAAAACCATTTATATGCAGAAGATCTACGTAAACAATACATAAATTTTTCCTTCTCTTCTTTCTTCTTTCCTTATCCATTTTTTTAATCTAGTATCATTGGAATTTATATAGAGATTACATTGAATCTGTAGATCTCTTTGGGTAGCACTGACATCTCAATATTATCTTCTAATCCATGAAACAAGGATGTCTTCCCATTTATCAGTGTCTTCTTTAATTTCTTTCAGCAATATTTTGTAGTTTTCAGTGTGTAAGTCTTTAGCCTCCTTGGCTAAATTTATTCCTAAATATTTTTTTTGATGCTGTTGTAAATAGAATTGTTTTTCAAAGAACCTTTTAAACAAATAATTTGATGGTTTAATTGTTTTGTGGAACTCCAGCAATTAGAAATAGCACTGAGTGAGAGTGACAGAGAAAAGGGTATTTTAAGTGTTAAAGCAATGTAAAAATATTCCGGGTCACTTAAGAGGTAGTGAGTTTCCTGACATTGAAGATGGCCAATCTTGGGTAGATGGCCACTAAGGAAGTGTATTATGGGAGCACAGCACGAGGCATAGCATAAAGGGACAGGAAGATGTGAGAGGCAGAACAGAATTTACTTCCTTCTAGAGTTCCTTCTAGCCCTGAACTATCATATTAAACAACGGAGCCATTAAGAAATAGGAAACGAAGGGGTTTCCACAGAGCATGTGTAGAAACAGCCAATTTAAGTTGAAGTCAATGCAAATAATTAGGTATAAACTTAAGACTATACAAAGAATTTCTGTGGAAATGAGAAAGTGTGATGAAGAAATTACATGTACAAAGAGAAGGATGAATGATGGTCTTTAAAGAATCTAAAACAGAAGCAAGAAAAATTTTTTCTACCAAAGGTCACGAAACCATTTATATGCAGAAGATCTATATCTAAATAAACAAACAATACATGAATTCTTCCTTCTCTCCTTCCTTCTTTTCTTATCTATCTCTGTATATATCTATCATCTATCTATTTTTCTATCCAGTATTATCTAACTATCATCTGGAGCATGTTTTCAATGGCTCTAGCCTCTCTAATTGTGTGAAAGTAAAACAGATAGACTTATGTATGGGTGCATAAAGAGAAATTCCAGAATTCACACAGAGGGGGAGAGGCTAAAAGTAGATAAAATGGAAAAGAGACAAAGAAGTAGGAAGAAAGAAGCATGTGAGTAGATGTAAATTATGTTTTCTAAAATGTTATCTATGTATATGTATAAATATGAAATATGTAAGACTGGAAGAACATGCATCAAAAAGTCAACAGAGATCATCTCTTAGATGTTCTTTAGAGCTTTCTATACTATATTTTCCAAATTTTCTATAATGAGTTTATATTTCTAAAAATCATCAAAGTAAACCAAGTTTTTTTCTTAAATGCTGAGGAAAGTGTCTTATAAGCTTTACATTAATGTGCTACTACTAAAAGGGTAAACAGAGCCTAGTGTGTCTGTAACTGAGAAAACAAGTCCTGGATATTTGACAAAGTTCTGAAAAAGAAAAAAAAATATGTGTATTTTTCTAATTC